CCTTCTAGGTTACACCTAGATTTAATATTCCTTCATCCCTCCACATACGGCCTCTCTACACTTGCACTTATCTTTCTTCCCTTGCAACTTTTCTTCTTAGTACTCTGTCATTCACTGCCAAAAATGTGGTGATACGTCACACTCAATCATGGCCCGCAGATAGGCAACAGCCACAGGAGGCACCGTGTCCTTGACCTTACTGTCTCTCCTGGTGGTAAATGATTGTAGCTAAGTGTCACAAAAAGAGGAGTAGGAAAAAAAAAAATATATATATATATATATATATAGTTGAAAATGAATACAGTATCTTTTACAATCGGCACTTTTAGAATCGTTCTCATTCAACAATCTGGCGGCAATGACAATAATTGTTTTTTGCATGTTCATATTATTTTTAGGAAACTTGACGGGGAAAATGTATTATTAGATATTTTTATCTGTACCAAAAATTGAACAGAACCTGAATGTCAGAACTAAAGTACCTACGAAATGATAACTTTAGCAGACTGTCTCACCTCTTCAATACAAACAATTTAAAGAACCACACACGCTGATAATTTATTTAGATGGCCTTCATAATATTTACTCCCCTCACTAATATTGGACTCCAAAACAAAAGGAGAACAATTTTCATAAAGCACACACACTGCGTGGAATATTCAAACTGCACCATATGTACAAAAGACTGGAGTTTCTTTACCACTGCTGTCATGTTTGTCTTATAAAAAAGGGAAAAAAGTAGCAACTCCAGAGACCTCGCCCGCACAAATTAGGTGCCGAGCTGAATCTTTTGATATCGAGTGTAAACACATTAGTTTTTCTGTATTGAAAAATCGACTCCAAATGTGGGCGGTTGTCAAGGTTTGGAGAGAGAATATGGCATGTCTTTATTTACACAAGGTGTAGGAGGCTTCTGTGTGTGAGTGTGTGTGTTTTGAGGAAGAAAATAGAATGTTTGAGGAGTGGGGTAAGAAAAAGGTTTGTGTGTACTTATGCAAAATCCACATAGCTCCTAACCAAGCATGCAAAGGAGTGCATCTGTACATGTGTATTTTCATCTGAGCTGCCAGACGGCCGCTATCTGTGCAAGTCAGACGGACAGGGAAACTGGTGACGCACAGCGATCGTTTGAAGTGTTATTGTCACCCGGAAATTCCACCTGCCTAGGAACAAGTTGTCATCTTTTTACACTTCTCACATTCAAACGAGGTATGGGCGGAAAGATGTGTATTTGTTCTGATATGTCTCCATACACAGGCTTGTGTCTGACAGACCAGTAAAGGTAACTTAGAAATTAGTTTGGCCTTGGTTTGACATCCTTTTATGTGCTCCCTTCCTGACTCTCTCTGCAGGTGTGAACAGAACTGGGCCAAGTACTTGTTCCAACTGCTGACCATGCATGCTCCATCTTTGGTTCTCACCCTTTTGGTCCACTAGATACTGCAAACATGTTTTCCAGAAGGGTTATCTGCTTTTATTAAAAAACATTAATCCAATCACTTTTAATTTTTATCCATAAGCCAAATTGCAAAGAAAAATTGTATGTATTTTTATTTCAGTTTGTAAATAAAATAAGACTATAATAAGACTTAAATTATTGCACTTCCCAATCACTCTTAATAGATAAATATAGATATAACAGTAGATTAATCAGGATTAATTATGCTTAATCATTAGTATAAATATCAAATTAATTAAAAAAACAACATTCCTAAATGAAACACATTTGTTAATAATAGCAGGTAGATGCAAGTCTTTAAAGTCTTACCTAAAATATGGAATAATTATAATTGAAAGATGGAAGAAAAAATCTAGACGTCTATAGTCCCTTGCAATAAATTGGACATAGTGTCAGCTTGTCAGCCTAAGACATATAGTACTGTCCTGTATGACTGGTTAAGTTAACCTTTATCTTTTAACCTATGAAATAATGAGTTAGGCAGAAAATAAGGTTTGTATATTTTTTTCTTCACTCCTTCATGCCTCATATTTTCCCAAACCAAACTCTCCACAATTCCTCCAACTCTCTCATATTCATACTTCTGAAACCCGATTCCTTCAAACATCTAATCATTTTATCCTCACCCACCATCTTTCTTCTTCTGAGCACTCCCCAACTGATTTTCTCCTTCCACTAACTACGCTGTAACTATTCTGGTCTTGGCATTCCATCTCAGTTAAGTACCGTTTATTCCTCTGGTTAATTAAACCCACTCTCGCACTCTCTCACATTATTAACACAGCTCCTCTGAGATACATCAAGTCTCAGGGCCAGCAAGTGAAAATGAAGCCAAAGGGAAGGGATATATAAGGATACTGGAAACGAGTCATAGGTGGAAACAGAGATACTGTAGAGAAAGAACCAAGATGAGAGTGAGCGTATTGTGTACAGAGCCAGGGGTTCTCTAGAGTGCTTTGGCCATTGTTACTCTACCCACCTTTTTGCAAAAGGGCGCGTGTCATAAGTATTTTAAGAGCTCTTCATTCCATTGTTCTTCTTTAATCCCGTTAGATAACTCCCTCCCTTCTCGTATTCCTCCTCCTCGCCGTCCTACTTTCTATATTTCTATTTTTTTCCTCCATCATTTTCCTACAGCCCACTCAGCAGACACTGAATCTTGAGTACCTTTGCTACAAGAAAGGCTCTATTTTGCCTAAAAAGGTAAAATAAGTTAAAAAGGGGAAGAGGGGAGTGCGGAGATGACAGATGTGGTCACATGAGGCTCTGTTGACCTCATTTGTTGTGTGGACAATGAATATAAAAAAAGCCCTAAAAATTACCCTCATTTGTTGTGTGGACAATGAATATGAAAAAAGCCCTAAAAAAAATTAAAACTAAACATGGCTGTCCACAAGTTCACGACAACAACAAAAAATTATTGGGGGTGTTGATGTGGCTGTCCTTTCAGTATCATAATGTCATGATATGAATAAATCATGGAATCTAAATCAGTAGGTTTTAGAGCAGCCTGTACACTGTCTGTAGTTATGGCAGATATTATTTACAGAACAAGATTTCAATATATTAAAAATGCATAATAATATATGCACTGTGTTTTGTTTAGGATTATAAACAATACACTCCATTCACACCCACATGCATACACAGAAATACTCACAAACACAGAATTCACCAAAAGACAGCTTTGACTAAAACGAGTAACAAATTGTAAAACCTCAGACTTCCACCTGAGCTCCAGTCACTGTTTTTAAAGCCAAACAACATGTGATGCAACATTTCAAACCTGCCTTGTAACAGCTGCCTGAAAGGAACAATGCTCTATCAACCCGGAAGGAGCACTTCTACTCTAGGAGTTACATTTCCCACCATAGAACCTCCTGCCAGCTTACGATTCTAAAGCTAACAAAAAGCCAGGAACCGAAGTCCCTTTTACCAAAACACACTGCACAGGTGCGATGGGGCAGTCACTTTCCTGCAGCTCATTCTGTGAAAAAGTGGGTCACAAGAGCAGGTGAACAATTTGCTATACCAACAGCACAGACTAGTGGTAGATTAATGTGGTTGCATAAAAAACAATTACGTCTTTGCGTTTGTACTGTAGATTTAAATCAGCAGCTCTTATACCAGCCACTTTGAAACCAGCTGCCCACCTTAGTTTAAAGTAATTGCATTAATGCAACATCACCGTCATCATCACTAAGAAAACCACTAAGTTCACCCTGAACAACAGACTTTCTCGGGAGTCTTTCATCACTCCCTGTTTTCTGCTAATGAAAAACATTTTCACCACGGAGAGAATGTAGGAAAGGGTAGGCACTTGTGCTGGGGAAGAATTTGCATGACCCAAAAATGCCCTGGCTCTCCTCCGACTCCATAAATCACAGGGATAGGGAGAATCCCCCGACGCCTCTGGTCTTTGTCCTCAAAGGTGATAAATTGATCCCTGGCTAGCTAATAAGCAGAGGCACAGGGCAAGCCAAACTTCCCAAAGATTTATTCAGGGGAAAGTGGATTTGTTGAAGAGGTAAAATAAGCGAACCAGAGACCAAAAACTATATTATTTTGGGTATTGTTTTTTTTTTTTTCCCCTAATGCTGCTCAAGAGATTTGTGAAGGGGAAATCCTCAGGGAAACATGGGGGTGTGAGCACCAGGGTAGAGATACATCAGGACAACATAAATAGAATATCTGTCGTGAAGGCAGAGAATCGGGACAATGTTGTTCAGTTTTGATTGATGATCACTTCTTTACAATAACAAAGATTCACAATCCATGTAAAAACAATATACAGTGACTTGCAACTTGCTCCGATCCATTAGATTTTTTTTGTTTGTTTTTTTTTTCTTTTTTGGCCAACTTTCAGAACAAACAAGCAAATCAATAGGACAGACAATTAGGCAGTCTGAAGTTTGTCAGCAGTCTTGCCCAGTAAAGGAACACAGGAATGTTTGCTTGACACCAGAGAAACCTTTTAGGGGAACTCAGACTGTCATTTTTATGACATGAGATGATCTGCTGACAGGAAAACCAGTCTTTTAAGAATATGATCAATGCTATCATATTTTCCCAAGCTGACTGGAAAAAGGGACATAATATGGTGGCATTGTGTTTCCAAGGAGTGGCAAAGGCAGATTAAGCCTTTACCTCTCTTCACCGCTTCATTTTTTCTTCCTTCATATTACTGCTTTTTTTTTTTTACCTTTAGCACTCTTCCCCTCTCCCTGTCCTTTCACGCTGCATCGTCCTGCCTTGTCTCACCACCACATAGGATCTCTCACCCTTTACCCTCACCACACTCTCGTCTTCTCAGTTCTATTTTTCCCCTACCCCACAACATCCTCTCACATTCTGTCTGACACGCACTCCCCTCTCTGCTCAGACAGCATGCTGTTGTGTTGATGATACACTTAGGCAATTAATATAATGCATGCAGAGCAGATTATTGTTGTGTTTTGGGGAGAAGCAGTTTCACCGTGATAGAAACTTTGCAGCACATTATAAATCTCACTCCAAACAGACAAGAGAAGGGGTAACTTACAGAGATGAATCCAACCGCAGATATTTATCCTCAGCGTTGTGGAAGCCGGCTCCTATTTTTCCTCATTCTAGGGGAAAGATGGAGAGGAAAATTCAGTTTGTTCCTAAGGCCATCAATAGTACTTCTGTGCTAAGGACAAAACTGAATTAAGGAGGGATGGATATCAAGAGTCATTGGAAGCAAATCTATATCTGTCCAGAGGGACATTCATATAAATATAAATGATTCTCTCTGTGACATGATTTTCAAATTTGTATTTGTTTGAGTTTGGATAGGAGGCATTGACTCAGAAGACTGACATGGAATACATAATGGCTTGTCAACAACTGCCGACCGTGGCAAACGCATTTCCAACATCAAATTCCTTCACCCATGAAGTATATTTCTATTTGGGTTGCATCCAAGTCTACATAGGGACACAGTAACACACTCTCTAGAACTAAAACTGCCTCTACATCCAACAGTGACGTTACCCTGTGCCATCGAGGCTGCTGCTGCTGGTAGAGGAAGAGAGAGGAAAGTGAAAAAAGAAAGGCCGTTTCCCAAATGCTCATTTTTAGCTTGCTTGTTTTGGGCACAGCGTAGCAGCAGCACTGACGAGCTGAGCACAGGGTTTTTGACACAATGGTGTCAGAGTCTGGATTGGGACGTTTTTGCTCACAAAAGTGAGAAGCATCACAACTGCTGGCAAAATGCAGGCACAGACACAAACAGATTGTCATCAAGGCTCTGTGTGCAATTAGTGTCTGAGAGTACCGTGAGTCCGAATGACACATTTGCCTTAAATTGTTTCATTAAAGAAGCCTACGAAGGAGATGGCAGATGGACTCTTCTGCCACTGTCGCATCAATCTGTGAATCGTTGTGGACGGCAGTGCAGGGGAGTTTTTAGTTTTGAACGGATGCACTGCTCCATTTGTGAAAATGTACTACCTCCTACAATAATTTACTAATAATAAAGTAACAAACATCTGTTATATTTGCAAAGAAAAAGCTGCTTTAAGTGGTCAGTGTAATTTCTGAATTTCTTTTTGTTGGCATGAATTTAATATGAACTACACTTTTAAGGCTTTTTTAACCAAAATAATGCAACTTACTGAATTTAAAATTGTCAAGTAGCTCCTTAAAACAAAAAAGCTTATGCAAAATGCTTTCCAAAAACTATAATATTAAGGTCTCATCCAATAGTAGCTATAAACATTTCCATGGATCATGCCTTGGGCCACCTGTTTTCCAAGTGAGTTTCTGCTGCTCCCAAGTGGCAAAAATAGTTAATACAAGTTCACTTTTAGATAACTATATTAATTATGAAAACAAGGTGTGTAATCTGGAAACATTTACAAAAATAAATGTTTCTATGTGACAATTGCTCTGCATGCAAGTACTGGGGAAAAAACAACAAAACACACAAAGTAAAATGCCCCTCTGCATTTAAAAAACGCTCTGGTTTCCTAATTGTTAAGTATTCATCCTGCTTATCTGTCTCTCTGTTTCTCTCAAAAGACAGAAAGAGGCAGACAGAGAGTGTCTTAAAAAAAACAAAACATAAAGCCACATATTTAAAGAAACCATTTGAAGGCAGTGTCCTCGTTGTGCTATTTTCAGAGAAAGTTCACGTCTGACAAAAGATATATATATATCAAATGCCTGAATAAACCAAAGAATGAATGGAATCTTTCTGACACTAAAAGCAGGTTTCACACCCTCGGCATCTCACATGACATCTTAGGTCCAATTTATGGGAGGATGTGCAGAAAGCTTGTGCAGCGTGTCAAAGGTATTCACAGATGGAGTGAGAAAAAGGCCAGTCAACACATCTGCACTCATATTCACACGGTGAATTAACCGTACAGCCTACTTACTTTCCCAGCTATCTGTTATCAGACATCCAAGCAACCTTTGTTAAGTTATGGGCATTTTAATTGCTATAGACAGGAGTCCATTAGCATAGCTTCTTGGGTGGCCATGGCCATGTTTCTCTAAATCATTAGGCTAATTATACAAGCTAATTAATCAGTAAACTTGGAATGGGCTCTGAGAGGAGACAGTGCTCCTTCTTGGTTTGCATAATGAAAGGAGTCCATTTTTAGTTGAGAAGAAAAGGGCATCAGGGGAGAAAAAAAAGCCTTTGATCCTGTGAGTAAATACATAATTTCTGCATATCTTGTGTTTTAGTGAAGCAATAAAGTAATGTGAAGTGGAAAAAGTCAAGCTAGTGCCCTGGTTTTATAGGGGACCACTGGACGTGAATAAGAAAACCCTGAGAATCCCAAAACCAGTGGAGGTTCCATATGTTCCACATATTCCAAGATGTGTTTGTGTGTCTGTGTTTGTACATACATGTCAGGCACATATCCCTGCACAAAAGTAAGGGTGGAGAATTGAGCATCACTGTCAGAAATGATGAGTTACAAAGAGAAATAAGCAAACAACCTGCCATCCTGTTTTCCCAGTATGTGTCGGAGACATCGTCAGCGCTCAAACCCAAGACTATTTTTAGCATTTCTTGTTGTGCACAATTCAAAATCACTTCCACATTAAACTGCAACTAGAGCAGCTTGTACAGTGGAAATTGAATGAGACTGCTGCATGTTAATGACACATATTTACAAATAGGCTCCCATGTTTGTTAAGTCACACTGTTCTGTGGACATGACATTGTGGAATTGACATTCATTGGAATGACACCTTGGATGACTAGCTGTTCTGCTTTATGCAGACCAGCACAGCATTTGGAAGTCACATGAAATGATTGTTATCCCTCATTCTGATAGGTTGGAATTTCCAGAAGGTTCAGGGGCAATTTCATGTCACTTACATCCAGAGGCAATAATTTAGGTGAAGCCAGCTACTACCTCAGGGCTGTGGCTGACAGCCCTTAACACTGGTGCAGGTGTTTAATACACGGTCACCTGTTCAACTGGAACTCTTCAAATTCTTAAAGCAAATATTTCTGTTTCATTTTCCATGACAACAATGAAAAAAGATGACCAAAAACTAAACTTTAAAGAATCACTTCTTGCAGCAGTAGAGTCCTTCATCTGGAACTAATGCATCTTGTCCTGCACCCTGCCCTATACTGCTTTGAATCCCCTTAGAAAAGACAATGCCTCCTCCAGCCGCACCTACATACCCTATATACACTACAGCCAACAGAAGTACTCTAGGAAATGTAATAAAACAGAAAAGCACAAACTGTTAAATTATTAATTTGAAAAAGTCACATGTTGTTTCAGCGTCAAACAAAGTGAAGGCCGGTGTTTGGTGTGTAGAAAATAAACATGTGCTCTTACCTGTCTTGGTCGAGAGGTGACGCATTCGCCTGATGTATCCGCTCACTAAAAATAAAAAATAGTCCCGTTTTTGATTTTTCAAACATCTGCATTTGTTATTTAAACAAACATAACAATACAGAAAAACGTAGCGCTGCAGCACTCTCTGTGCGCCGTCTTTAATTACAGTCAAGTGGTAACACCTGCGCCCTGCGCTCCTTCGTCAAGTCAAATCATCATTACTTAGAATATACTTTTTGTCGTAGCATTTTTATCAATTATCTTAAAACTACCATGTTTGCGGTCGTTCCCTTTGCAGTCGGTAATCGCTATGATAACCCTGTAATTTATCATTACCATAATATAACTTGAGTTTTCAAGTGGCAAACCTAAACAGATATTTCCGCTTTATTCAACTTGTATAACAATGACAAACAAATTAACCTTATCATAACTTTCTTAAAATATTTACCTGGTTTACTTTCATACTTTTTTTGTGCAGTACTAGAGTCATTGTTTTGGAACACATCCATCTGCCGCTCCTAAGTCAGCTCGTTGAGATTTTGTCATGCACTCTCCTTTGTGCTGCTTTAGCGCCCCCTAAAGGCGGGGGTCTCTATGTACCCTTGGTAAATCACTGCTATTATTATTATTATTATTATTATTATTATTATTATTATTATTATTATTATTATTTGAGATAGACTGTGATAAATGAAGGCTGTGCTGTGCTATGTGGTGGGTGGTTATTTTCCAACTGAAGGATCAAAGTTTGGTCTTTGACAGTCCGTCTGCACACAGCTCACTTAACCTCTAATTGTTCCTGATGGCTATGATAGCTACAGTATGTTCTTAATAGGTTATGCACATTTGGTATGTGTCATTCTGTAAGGATTACCTAAAAGTTGTGATAAAATATATATGGTTTTAATATAAAAAATTAAAATAAAAGTACAAAACATTCTGACCTTTCCTCTCTGTGTTTTTCTATAGGGAGATTCTGAGGAGTTCTCTTCTTTTATCACTCTGGTCCGAGGCAGCAATCGCCATTCAACATTCCAAACTGGTAAGATCTATATTTAGGGCATTGAGGGGGAAGAAAAAGACTTCAGTGAAATTGTATTACTCTTTATAAAAACAATCCATCTATGACAATCCGCTGTGACCACAATCTGTTTTCTGTGTTCAAATGTCATAGGCCTGAGTAATATCAAGACGTTAATAATGTCAGCCCACAAAAATCAAACCAAGGGGTCAAAGTAAATGTGGTTAGTAAAGATGAATGTATGAGTACTAGAAAATGCAACCTGTATATGATGGAGTACACAACATTTGGTAAAAAAACAACAATATTTATTTTGCAAAAAAGTTAAGTTTTATTTCCCATTTCTGCAGCAGGCTGAATTATTTTTAAATAAAAAAAAGACATGCTTTTAAAAAGTGATTTTATAATACTCACTTTATTACCTGTACCTGTTTTTGAGAATATAAATAATGTCAAAGACATTAATAAATAAAAAGGCAAAGGTATTGGGTGAAATGCTGGAAAATATATTTTGCTTCTGTTAAATGTAGAACAATGAAAAACGTTATGCGTGCTCATGATGCCCCCTGCAGGAAAGGGATTACTACTGCGGCTGCTACTACTTTAGTAATGTGCAGATTTTTATCTACCCATCCAAGGAAGTGAATAAATTATTGACACGTTTTTCGTAGATTTGTAGCAAACTAACGGAAGCTCGTTAAAAAAATTCCCTTAAATCCAGTTAGTGTTCAGAATGTGATGATCCATAAACACGGCTGAATCACTCGCCCAAAATAACACAACCACTTGCATTCTGTTGCATCATCACATATAACATGCATTATGTCTACAGATAGTGAAGTCAACATGTCAGAATTTTAATACATTTCTGCTCCCTCATCTGGATGTTCTGGATCTGATGATGAAACTCAAAGTTCATGTCTGTTGGAGTTGGAGCACAGTTTCCCCCCATCACTGTGCTGTTTAGTCACATCACTGAGCAGCGATGTGGTTTCCTCCAGCAGGATTTGAGGGTGCTGTCGTAATTGGGGGTGTGTTGTTATGCTGCAAGTTTTCCCCGGAGCGAACGCCGACACACACTAGAACACATCTCAACACAGCCACATAAAGCATCTAAATGCATTTTTTCTATAACTGTATCAACTTCACTTGGCTGAGTTGGCTGTGTTGAAGTTCTGGGTGGAATTAGAACAGAGCTGCTCCAAAACAAAGAGTTTTTTTTATTTTTATTTACTGTAGTACTGTCACACACACACACAGACGTAGTCTCTCTTGCTCACTCCACTGACATTTTTAGTGCAGTGTGTAAAGTGTGTGTCTGTGCAGTTTTTTGTTGGAACATTTTGTTCAGTATTAGCTAAAACACCATAATCTCAAACTGAACTCAGGGGTTTTTTAAGCAAAATCCATGACATCACTATAAGCTTCAAGTCAGGTTCTTGTTTCTGTTGTCTGACCAGAATAAGCTAAAGCGATTTGGTAAGTTCATGGTTTGGTGACCTCCAAATGTTTTTGTGTTTGTTTGTTTTTTAACAGGGATTATGTTTGTTTGTTTGTTTGTTTTTTAACAGGGATTACAGTATCACCCCCTGTGAAAATATTATGTTTTTATATAAATAAATCCAATATATAATGATCCTCTAGTTCACTTCATAGTGGCCTGTCATCATTGTGTAGACAATTGTGTCAATTAATTCAATAGTGGCCTGTCATCATTGTGTAGACAAAATAATTGTACTAGCTTAGGGTGCAAAAGTGATTTCAATTAAAGATAGTAGCAATAAGTGTAGCTTCCAGACCAGTGAAAGATACAGAATTTGAACTCTGAATAGTTTGAGTTAGTTTTAAGTTATTTCATATTTGATATACAGCCTTTTGCCTAGCAGTTGTCAAAACTTTTACATCTAGTTCCAACTCTGAAATCATTTGATACTTGGTGTACACATACCTTATTTGGAGAACCACAGCTTTAGGCTATTCAGGGCCATATCCGTATCCTGCTCAGGAACCATGAAGGTGATACTTTTTAAGATGAATCTGCACTTTCTTCTCAGGCAGAAAGGCTTAAATACTCCAGTTAAATTGCCATGGTGCTGTTAAGGCACACTCTTACATACCTATATGTGTCCTACACCTGTCAGATGGAGCTGTGTTATATAAGGGACAATTCACAGCAGTAGCAAGTGGCCTGGTTTGGAATAGTGATGAGTGCAGCAGATGAGAATTTTGTCAGAGTTAACTTCTCCCAATCTGCTTACAGCAGAAGTGACCTATTAATAGTGTTCTTTTTTGTTTGTTTTACAGAAAAGAACAGCTTTCAGGTCAGGACAATTTGCCAAAAAACACTCAGCATTAGTATGGTTATTTCTGAAAGATGACTCTTATTTTATAATTTTAGATGCTCTCAAAGAATTTGAGCATTTAATTAAATAAAAGTTTAACTTACCTATGTTATGATAATTAATATTTGTGTTGGTTGGTATTTATATATTTGTACTATTGTATTGTATGATCTCGTATAATCAGGAGTGTCCAGCATGTAAAAGCAGCCAACACGTTTTTCCTTAGTATGATATACAGTGATAGGGCTAAAAAAAATGTACATGAGTGTGTGTGTGTGCACGCGCGTGTGCATGTGAATGTGTTTTTGGCGGTGGTCAGGGGCAGGCTTGTCTGGAGTGATTTATTATAGAGCTAGAAGGGACAGACACTTCCACCGTGTCACATGGAACATGGCCCCCAGGTTCTCTTTGGCCCTGCTGACTACAGGGAGTCATGCCAAGACAGAACAGATTCTGTTTTGCACATGTTAAGGTTACATGGCCAAGAAAATTCATGCATGGTGCATACATACATAGTACACACGTTAATACACACAAACACACACTAAAAGAACAATGGGATTTTTTTCTAACTAGAAAAATCTCATAAATAACATATTCTGTAATTTGAAAATGAACCTTAACCTTTGTTTAACAGGCAAAGCTAGGATTTGTCAAACAGAGAAAGAAAAAAAGAAAGTGTATTTTAGGTCATTCATTTGAGGTATAAAAGGAACCTCTCACACAGGCTTGGTCTTTGCACTGTAGGGTAGGAATTCAACTTTTTAACAGTTTTATCATTTTTCTCACATAAAAACTTTTAGTTTGTTTGTTTTTTTAAATTCATTTTACTACATTGTTTTAGATTTTTTTAATTGAATTTAATTGAATTTTATATTTTGGTCATACTGGTCAGAGGCAATATGTGGTGTAAAGGTTTGAATACCAATACTATTAACGCCTATTAATAATTACATAGTTAGACTGATCAGTTCCTGCCTTCTATACAGCAAAATGGTAACGGAGACTACAAAACAGCAAATAATAATAACAATAATAATAATAATAATACAAGGAATTTACATATTCGACTATAATCAGGTCATAGATTATTGTCATAATGCTTTACTTTCAAAGATGTCACCAGGTGATACAAGTTAGTCCAAAAATATGTAATGTCACAGGATCATGAAAGGAGCCAACACTGCATTAGTTTTCTCCATCAAATACAACAGCACACCAAGCAGAAGACTGAATGTTTGAATTACTATGGGCTGCACAAGGCAGCTGATGCCAATGACCAGAATGTTATTGATTGGGTCAAAGTTGTATAAACTTAATTTTTCTGTCTGGCAGTATTATAAAAAATGGCTGTCTTATTTGACCTGCGCTACAAAAAAACTGACCTCTTGTGCTGTGGATTTAATTGGTCAAAAAGGGGATAAAGTTACAGTCTGTGGCTGTATTCAGAGGTGGGTGCGTTGGACCGCGTAAAAGGAAATTTTCACCTTATTTCTAACAATTCTATGGTTTTCACTTTGGTTTTCTTTTTTTTTTTCTTTTTCTCGAGTACAGCACGATTTGGCCTGGGTGCAGAAAGCGAGCTCCATGCTTGAATGTGTTTTGTGTGAAAGATCTTCAGTGGCCTTCACTGAGCCCTGACCTCAACCCCATCATTCTCCTCTGGGGATGAACCAAAACACTGGTTGTGAGCCAAGTGTTGTTATCCAATTCTTATTCCACGGACAGACTCCAAAAATGTTGTAGGAAGTCTTCCCAGAGGAGCTGTTAGAGCTGCAAAAAGGAGCGAAGCGACTCCGTATGAAATATCAGGAAAGCTCCTTCATTTTGCCCAAATCGTGAAATTCCAATGTAAGGGCTTACAACTAGTGGGAGTATAGTTTACTAATGTCATGTTATAACCAAAATATGACTAGTGTTGACATTAACATGAAAAATGCTGAATAGATAGGATATGACGTGTGTCATGCCTGTGTCCTACCAAAGGAAAAAAACTCTATTCCTTCAAAATATGGACAAGCCTTTCAGAAAGGTTTTCTATGGATTCATTTCATTTCTTTTTCTTTTCTTTTTTTTTTTTTTTTTGCTTTTATCATTGAATCTGTGGCAGCCTTCCAAACGAAAGAGGCTGATGGCAACATTGCTGTGTTATTGTAGTGTAAAACATATTGTGTTTTTGTTTTTTCTCAATTTCTAGGTGAGGTCACAGGGGGCGTTCATTTCTGTGCTGTGTCGGCGAGCAGCAGCAGCAGCAGCATCAGGCAGCATGTTGGCACCTGCGTGAAACCACAAGCAGGAGCCTAATTTCTGGTGAGTAGAGACGTTTCTCGCCATTACACCAAACCTTGCACAATCCAAAGAACAGCTGTTCACTCCAGACTGGGCTCAACATTTTTGTTGACTGGAGTTATGGGTTAATCAGATTATATTAAAAAACAAGCCAAATTGAGAAAAGGCTTTGACAATTTCTTTCCACTCTTACAAGAAAAAAAAAAAACAAAAAGAAAAAAAAACATAAATCCAATCACAAACTACTAACATGACTGCACCTGAAAGCACTCCAACGGCTACTTAAGAGGCTTTGGGGAAGAGAAGGATCCAAATATAATTTAAGAGGCTTTGGGGAAGAGAAGGATCCTAATGGTTTTCAAAAACAAACTTAATTATATTTGTACACCAACTACACAAATCTCTGAAGATTTTAATGCAACATCGTGCAGAGGTTATTAAGACAAAAAGGAAAATCGACAGGGAATTTCACCCTTTGCTTTCACACTGAAATTCTCACAGATTCCTGAATCTTTCACAGTATTATTACCTGTAGATGTGATTACTATCTTTAAAACATTCTTCTACTTAATTCTATTCCTACGTTCAGCACAAACTTAATAAAGATAAAGATTTCAGTGGATGCTCCTTTTATACCCAATGTTGGTGCTAACAATCTCTATGCAGTTGAAATCTCTCAATGATTTTATTTCTTTAAAATGTCAGTTATTTATGATTGTGTGTTAGAGACATTTTGATAACTCTATCATCATAAAAAAAACAACCTGATTATTAGGCAACCCCGACTGACAACTCTGCTTATTTTCTTCAATGTACAAGTAATCCAAGTTGCCAGACTATAAAATCCAACAAACAGTTTTCCTTACTTGATTACATTATCAAATATCAAAACCAGAATTTGAATAAATAAAATACAACCCCTGCCCTGAGCCTGTGTGATTATGTAGCTGGGGAAATGAATTCAGCTGGGTATAAATATTGCAGGGTTAGTACATGGAGGGCTTTTTGGTCGATGAATTATAAGTCCAGTGGCTTTACACCAGCATCAGAGCACAGCTCGCTCTGCTTTCACCCTGCTCTAAGCTGTGACTGGGGAATTGTGGATGCAGCTACGCCACAAATAAACACCAACGATGCTTGAAGCCCATCACACTCACCCAACATGATGTATGCTTACACTTAAACGCATGCAACAACAAACATTCAACTGTGGTCGGAGAAGCACACTGTCTGATTAACACCTCCCACTAAGGCCAAGATCAGAGAAAAATTGCCCTGAAAAAATATGATTTTGTAATGATAAAAAAATTCTATGTATGCTTTTATTTCTCACATTGCGTTTATTCTGTCCTCCCTCCTGGAAGATGAACAGATTCAAGAACTCAACCTCAAAAGTACAAGGTTTTAAAATTAGTCTATCGGCTTTTTTCTGCTGTCAAATCCTCTTTTGTCATTAAACCCAGTGAAGCATGAAGTTATTGGTTTATACATGTGGTTTAAATAATACAATAAAAACACAATAAGAAACAAAATAAAACATAAGAACCAAGATTAAAATTGCTTCTCAAGATCTTTATATATGGCAGGTTTTCTTTTTATGGTATATAAAAAATAAAAATAAAATATCTTAAACATAATCATAATCCCCAGACTGCCGAGGTCTGTCTATTGAAACCACTCTGTGTGAGCAGGACAGATTCTGTGGAAAAGTGATCTAATTTGTTTGACATCAGATAACAACAAACTCTATTATAGTGGGCCCCAAACAGATAATTAGCCATTTACTGTGTATGCTGACCAGAGGACAGAGATTTGCAGATGGATAAAAAGGGCAAGTCAAAATAAATAAATAAATAAACACATACACACAATAAAAAACACAAAATAAAAATAATCAAACACCGGGGAGAATCTCAAAAATTACATTGGTGGTGCACTCTGTGATCTTTAAACATCTAGTTGTTGTGAGAAGTGTATTTTTTGGGGGAGATAAAATTTAAATTACTTACTCTTACACACTCCACTGCTTCTGCAATTACAGCCGCACAGGCGGGAGAGAGTTTTTATTTAATTTTTTTCACACAAAGGAGGCATCATTTGCATCAGAGGTGGGACCAGTCAGTGTTTAATAACATGCTGTGAAGTTGTTTTTTTCCCCCATCCATTTATGACCATTAACTGCAGACCAACAGGGTGCAACTAATGGATGTTTGGTAGCCATTGTAAAATGCACCATAGTTTGAAAATTCAGTAGAAAAAAATGTAACTTTGAGATATTAATATTAAGCTTTTTATGAAATTGCAGTTGACTCAGTATTTGTCTGCTAAATGTAAATGTATGTTTAATTCAGTCGACTGCCGTGCTCGCATTTGCTCATCCCAATTTAACCACAAGATGGTGCTGTCTATAACCGCCATAACCTCGTGACCTATCATTGCAGTGATCAACTTCTTTTTGCTATCTAATGCAT